TGGACATGGGCGGAGGAGGCTGCTCTGAGCTGCTGTCCTGAGGCTGAGTGACCGGGGTGACACCACGTTGCTGTCACCAACAGCCAGGCCCAGCTTCGACAGGACAAGAATTGGGACAAAGTTTATCCAGTGGGGCATGGATGAGTAGAAATGGTATAACCTTGCTCTGGGCTCAGTGGTTGGGTGAGTGAATGCAGGAATAAATGGACAACCTCAGAGCTGAGAAATTCAAGATTAATAGAGGAGCTGAGGAAGAGCTCAGGGTTTTCCTGCTCTGTGCCTACACTCCTTTTCTTTGAGAGGGGGACTCAAAATGGCAGCACGTGCTTCAATAAAATTTCATTTTCAAAGGAGGAGAGTGGTGAAGATATATTTAAGATTGCACAAGATACTCCTGTCCTGCTGAGCTTTGCTAAGACAAACAGCTCTGCTTGAAGAAGAAGGGTTGTGTCGTGCTCCTTTAACTCGGCAGGTACCAGGTTGGGTCAGCCAGGTGTGCAGCTGGCCTTGCCCTCAGCCTCAAACTCGATCTTAACGGTCTCTTCCAACCTAAACAAGTCTATAATGCTACGTAGAAATGAACACAAAAGTGTACTGCTTGACTAATTTCACCAAATACCTTTAGCAAGAAAATAGCTATGTCAGATTGAGAAATGCTGGTGTTTTCAGAAATGAGCTACTGTCCACATGAGAATTAATCCATTAATTTCAGTTTTATCAATAGATGTAGCTGTAAGAAAGCTTGAAAAATATATTGTGTTAAGTATCTCCCAAATTGATTTTCAAGTCAGCTGGCGAGGATGGTAGGTATTCACCTGGGTCTTCTCACAGCCCTGTTGCTGGGTGAATGTGGATATAGCTGGTGTCAGGCTTTTTGAACCCACACAGTGGGTTGGGGGAGTTGCTTTGCCTGACATGGGACCAAGTTGCTTGTGCTGGCAAAGTTTCTAAACAGCTTCTCATAGCAGGACTGTGAAAAGTTATGATTTTGGCTATAGTCTCAAGAAAACTGGGGCAAAGAGAGTGGAAAAGAACAGAAGAACTCATAGTTTGCATTTTGTGTGTTGTGCATGAGAACCAAAAGTAGAGTAATGCTGGGGAGGGACCATGCAGTCACTTCTCAGTACAGCATGGACACCTCATCTCCAGTATGCTGAGTGTTTAAATCTCACTTGCTGTAGCTGCCAACAGAAGTAGGTTTTCAGGGATCATTTAACAGAAGCAAGGAGGGCTGAGCACTCTCAGGGAAGAAGCCATCACATGTCATTCTCTTTTAAGCTTTATCTTTGTAAGGTATTAATTTTCCAAAAGAAAATGGAGTTACATGATTACCTATGTTTACACTGATGACAGGAACTCAGCTTACAACAGAAGGCTCTTCTGTTTAGTCTTAGTCTTGTGAAAGATCTCTTCCACTTCTATCTCGTGTGACAGTGCCACCTTGCACAGAGAATCTCAGGCTTTCTAGCTTTCAAAACTAATAATTTCTAATTTCTTTTCAATTCAGTGTTTGTAAGAGGTGTGGATGATACACCAAGGTAAAAAAATCACTTTCCTGTTAGGGAACCATTTTAGCTACCTGTTTCTTGCTGAAGAATTGCAAATTGGTTTGATCACTACAGTTACGTTTTGTGTAAGTGCTTCAGGTAGTCGCAACAGAGTTCATCATTTAGTGTAAAGAGGACAACGATGCACAGTGCAACTGTATGAGGTAACAGGGCTGAAAACCCCATTATAAAACAATCCTGTGGGACGCGAGTCTAGTGGAACCTACTCCTTTCAGTTCAACTCTTCGAGTTGAAAAAAATGTGGATACTGCAGCAAGCCCTGGCCTCATCTCCCTGAAACAAGACCACTACAGCTTCCTGCCCGCAGGCGTCAGCTGTGCACTGCAGCATGGCCAACGCGCAAGTCAGGGGCAGGTGGGTGCTTTGTTTGGGTTTGTTTGTAACTCAGAGCAATGTCACATCACACCTGTTTTACTTAAAAAGTAAAAATTTAAAAAAATCTCAAATTTACTCCTGCTCAAGAGGGAGAACTGAAGACATATCACTGTCATGTTTTCCACATCTATTTTTCTGTCTCAGAAGTATTTGTATTAAGAGATCAAAACTGTGTGCTCTGCAGTGTAAGCAGCTTCAATCTTTCGCCTCCTTACAGGTTCATCACTGAAGGCTGTTCATTGCCTGTGGTGTTGACGCTGCTCCATTTTCCTGAAGGAGTGTGGGGCAAATTATGTTTGCCAATCTAAAAAGCAGTGGAGGGAAGAGCAGTTCCTCACACTGTGGAAGCTGTAGGTGTGAAGCCAGCTCTACATTATTGACTCAGCTAGCAAGTCTCACAGGTTAAATTTTGTTCAGTATGAAGTAGCCATGAAACAGAAATAAACCTAGCTTAACTTTATTAATACCAAGGTAAGAAAAAGATGGCATTCACATTACTATTGGATATGTTGCTTTGCAGCAAAATACAGAAAGTTACCAAGTTCAAAACAAACTTCTTGCTTGTATGTGAGCCAAAATGTAGAGGCATTCATATACAAGTTAGATAAAACATGTGCTTAACAATTCAAAGAAAGCTTACTAGGTACACTTTTACATTGCTCAATTTTCTGCATAAATTCCAGAATTTTCAAAATTAAGTCTGTTTCATGTGGTGAAGTGAGCATGAATCCTGTAGTGGAAGGCAGCTTGTGTGCTTCGAACTGCACAAACATTTGTTTGACTCCAGATGAAAATTCAGAACACAGTTTCTTGCCTAATTCTGAATTCTGCCTTGTCCTTCCAGAGCAGAGGCAGATCACAAGTTACCTCAGTCTGTCAGTGAAATCACAGATTGCACCCAAATCCAGTGTTGTACCTTGGCTCATGAATTACAGGGCCAGAAGCAGACGTTGGTAACTTCTAGAAACGTGAATACGGTTCTTGAACAACAACCCAACCAACCAAAGAAGCATACCCTTTAAATTTCTACAAGATTCTTAAAACAATCCGTTATAAAAATAATGATGCAAGAAGTATTTTGTGGTAAGAATATTTTATATATATTTTTTTTTTTACACTTTTAACACAAAAACATTCAAACAAAAAAAATTAAATAACTTTGGAAGCAGAACAAGTCCTTCTGCCTACACACATACAACAATTCCGAGCTGTTGGCACAAAAAGTAATCCACATTCATAAAACCCTTACTACTATATCAAACATAAGTTAAGTAAATCATAGGCACTAGTTTATTAAATCCATATTTCCACGCTTCTGCAGTAAATTTCTAAACACAGAGCCCAGTGATTTCCTGATATCAATAAACTGGTAATGCACAAAGGCTTTCTAGTAAACAGTCTGTCTTTCAAGAAGTCATTTGCTGTATTTCGGGAGGAGAACAGCAGCGAAAAGAATCCTCATAAAACTTCAGCTGAACTTACCCAAGTGATAAATTACTCAACCTAAGGAAAGGTACACAACAGTTTGATGCTGCCATGGTAAAAGCCCCAATATTGTCATCTAAACTGACTTTGAAAATTTAAAAGTCAATCAAGTGCTTGATATAATCCTATTAAAATTCACCTTCTTCCACTGAAGACTGCAGCATTGCTTTGAAAAAGTGCTGAAATGATAAAATTCAGGCTTTAGTGAGAATATGTGCATTTGATCTAGTCCTCTCTCCTGCTTAAGAGTGACATGAGATAGTAGCTGGCATCTGTTATCTGTGCCAGCAGATGACACAAGGCTAGATTAGTAGTATGCACTGGTCTACTGGTGCAAGGCAATTTCTTTATCCCTGGTGAAATCTTACTGAATTACAGTATATTTGGTACCCTGACTTGAAAGTCTCAGCACAGCTCTTGGTCTGGAGTGTAAAGTCATTTATCAACCCAAAGTTTGCTTCAGTAAGTAGAGCTGCAAATTAGTCTCCACTCACTCCTATTTGGCTTCTTCCAACTCAAGTAGTATTGCATGGCTTTTCATCCAGGAATATGTTAATGCTGGCCTAAAATTCAAGCGCTGGAATTTCAGGGTTAGTTATCCTCTTTGTGGTGTGAGTCGAAATACACCAGCAGTCCCAAATGCAGATGCTAACAGGGTTGAAGGCTACCTACTGTCCACTCCAACTTGTAGTGTTTGTCAGTCATTGCACAAAAGATACACCATTCACATTCTCTTACTTCATCAACTGTATATCCAAAATACTGAAAGAAGCTTCAAACAAAATCCCTTCCATTTAACTAGTCCCACCCAGTACAACTTTAGTTACAAAAGTTTGCATGATGGTTCAAATGCTAAGTATATGAATGAGTTGTTCTAAGCAAATCGGGTTAGAATAAATCAGAGCCACCAGAGGAATTTAATAGCTTGTAAACAGACATAGCAGGTTTCATACTCTGTTACCAGTAATGTAAGATACACATATGTAAGGCAAAGTACATATTTTAACACACTTAAATGGGCAATATCTTCTGTAAAAATATTTACAATTTAAAATAAACCAATTTAAGAAATGGATGAAAGTAAAAAAATAGGATACAGAAAACTCCCTCATACCATGGAACATCACCTAAATGAATAGCATTTGGCATCAAGAGTCAACTCATTACATTAAAATTTGTATGTTACAAGTGCATAGTTGTGTTTCCTTCTCCTTAACTATCAGCATTTACAGTTGCTCCAGGCTGCAAGCATAGTGGTATGGTATTAGAACAAATTAACATTACAACTTGCTCTTTCCTTTGTAAGGAAACCTGCTATAAAAGTTTTTCCCAAATAGCGAGCCATGTGATAAAAATGTGGCTACAATAGCAAAGGCCATCTTTCCTGAGGCAGGAAATTTAAGGTTAGAAAGACTGTGTAACTGATACTAAGCCCTTTTGGCAATCAAACATATAAGAGCATGTAAAGCTGATAAATCAACGTAGGAAAGATGCAGTCTATACTATTGCATTTGTTTGTGTCTGCTACATTCAAACTCTTAATGTTAATAAAAGCCATGGCTACCACTTACTGTTCTGCCTAATCCTCCAGAGTCACTTCTGATTTTCTGAAGGATGCACGTACCACTTTCCCCAGTGAGAATCTCACACAATTGATAAAAGCAATGTTTCACTAGCACTGCAGCAGTCTGCAATCAGAACATCAGCTCTCATTAATGTAGTCTTGTTTCAACAGTACATATTCACTGATCTTTTTGCTGAATTAAAACAAGCTTAAAATGAAGTTTTGGACAATGTAAGTTGACTGTTATACTTGCTGTTTTTCAAGATGGGCATTTCTTTGGCATTCGTTAGGTTTTTGCCCAGACATTGGCCACTGTCATAAATGCTCATATTGATACATTTTTAGCAAGCAATAAAACCAACCCAGAACTGATAGCAATCTAATGTGGAAGTGATTGTATGATCAACAAACATCTGATGTTAGATGTCAATAAAGTGCTGCCATATAATCTCTGCCAGTTTGTGCTAATTAGAGACAGAGAGGTCTGGAATTTTTATAAATCCCAAGAGTCACATCTGAACAGTTTGTATAATCAAGCTGGCTTGTAGCCTGGTGAGGAAGCATCCATGAGCACTGGAACTTTGCATTAAACTTTGCAGTTCAGTAGCAGCCATCTTTCCAACTCTCGTCTTTCATGTTGCCATAGTTTTTGGGAGTGGGCAATGATCTAAAATAAAATGAGATACTTTTCAGTTTCATACATTACTGCTGAAATCTCCATTTACAATACCTAAGAATTTAAGCATTTTTATAAATAACTGAAATACACATTTCACTCATTTACTTCTCTGCAATAGAGTCTACCTAACTTAAACCCCAAACTATTTTTAGTTTTAGGTTCTGTGTATTATATCTTGGCAATTACCATGTCAGAAAAACATCTGCATAAACAGAAAACTTTTTGCTATTGTATTCCATCAGAATACAAACTTAATCTGCTGCCATCTAAAAACAGGCCACATTTTTCCAGTGATGGATAAACAGGGAACCCCTTGTTTAGAGTATCACATTTTGCTCACCTCAGAATCTTGATGTTCATAGATACTTGATTTTTGCATTGTGTATAGATACTGCATTATGTATGTAAACTTTCCAAAAAATAGCTGCACAAGTTTAATTAGTGAAATGCTTTTCTATAAGATAAGTTGTGATTTGAACAGCCACACTTGGTTACTACTAAAAACTTCCTGTCAAAACCAGTTGCATTTTATTACACAAAGTTTCATACTACTGACAGACTCAGAATGCAAAACATGCAGTAGTGTGACCGTCACTCGTCATTCCCCCGCCCAGCACTCATAGCAAAACAGAACTCCTCCACTTGGCTATTTATGGCTGTTGCATCTTTTCTATGGTACTGGACACCAACTGTTTATCCTGTTTAAGGAGATTCTCGCTATTCCTCATAGATGGCTGCTTCTTTATGTCAGCTGGCTTCCACTTGACACCTTCAGTGAAAATGCACATTAGCATAGCATTAAAAGCACATATTCTATGTTACACATTGCTTCCTTCTGATTCTTCTTAAGAAAAACTGTCCATGTAGCCTTTCCACTTAATACTTGGTCCTTCTTGCGGTCGTTTTCCAAAGCACTCTGATATTAAGCAACTTCTACAGCAGGGTGCTAGCACAGAGGTCAAGTCTGAGCTGATAATTGTGTTTTGTCCTGTACGTTTACTGCATTGATTTTCACATTAAGTTTAGCAAGTGCTACGGATGTCTCCTCTGTCCTCACTTGTCTTCCTTCCTAAAGCTCCTAGTTGCCCAAGGAGAGAAACTGTTCTCACCATGGTACCACTGCTTGGCGTATGGATTACAACAGGAAAATTGTTCTGACTTCAGAATGTGTCGCTCAGTGGTACAAGTGAGTTTTTACTTGCCAGCTATATTTTGGTAACTTCTTACCACATGCAGATACATTCTTAACTGCCTTCTCAGTCCACACAAAGACTTCAGTTTACTTAGTTCAGTATCTTTCAATATTCATTTCATTCCTTCACTCTCTAATTGAACCTTTTTCTCTCTGTTTTGCTTCAAAACTATTTTGGAAACATAAGCAAACACTTCACGCGGAAGTCTCCATTTCTGTTCTAAAGACCTTGAGATCAAAACAAGAACTGCAGAAGGTGCAGCACAAATACACAACGTACAAAATTCATTATGAAAACTTCAAACTAAGACTGCCTGTCACATACTCACCTGCGAACAGGCTGTGCAAGTTTGCTACGAGGCACTGGGATGCCCCCCGCAGAAGGGGCACTGGGTCTGGGCAAACCACTCCTCATCCCTGCTGTCCCTGCCGGTCTGGTAAGAGTGGTACTGTTAATGCCGCTGGCAGAACTTGGCAAGCCTGAACTCTGGGCTGCGAGAGGCCCTGGTGAAGAACTACCGTGTGGCAGCTGGGTGGTTTCTGGAGAAGCAACTGAACCAGGTCCATGGTTACTAAATGCTTTCACTGGTTGTCGGAGAGCTAGAGGAGACGGTGCTGCAGGTGAACGGAATTTACTTGAAGAAGGTACTGGAAAATTAAATACAGAAGTTACTTTCAAGTATAAGTTACAATACAACTGAAATTAAAATCAGGAAGTTACTTTATGTGAAAATTCAAACAGTATGGAATGTATAATGAATACAGCCAATCAAGCAGCAATGAGAAACAGGAATTCAGATGTCCTCTTTGTTATGTGTTTTTGATATAATAACTCTAATGCCCCATTTGCTGACTACAAATATTTATCTGGATTTATCAGTCAAGTCAAAAGAAACAAAGAACAAATTTGTTAAGAAAAATGTAGCTGCTTCAGAAATATGTGAACCTAATTCCCATCCCTGAAAGAACACATTGAAGAATACAGGATTCTAGTGTGATACAGTCTTTAAATAGATTCAAAGTGTATAGTAGCTTTGAATGATGAAATACTGAGCAAGAGTATTTTAACGTTTCATTTATGCTCTTCTTTTTAAACAAATCCATTGAATTAGAATTTGCCTAAAGATATAGTTGTGTCTTGTGTTTATTGTCTGATGGGGAAAAAAAAGAGGGTCAGCCAGCCCCCAGCACAAAAGAGATTAAGGTGATGCTATTAAACTTAAACCAAGACAACTGTAACAATTTATAGTGTTCCCCTTTTTACAAACATTATCTAAATTATCAGTGTAGCTAATATCTGAATTCAAATACTTTGCATCTGAGTTAGCATGTAAAATATAGGTCTTTATCAAGTCCTTTCTGGGGAAGGTTAATAAGCTAGTGGAAAATCCATTTAGAGGCTCAGACTTACAATACAGCATCTTGTGCAACAAGGTGCACGTGCAAATGAACTCCACTATTTTTGTACTATACATCTGTTTTACTCAATGCTATTTCTCGCTGTTAAAGCAACAGCAAGAGTTCATATATATTCAGAAATTACTTCTGAGTTTTAGTAGACACCTAGCAGTGAATGACAACTGATTGTCACAGCAAAAATACTCACAAAAAATATTCAACAGTTCTTTGATAATATCAGACCTTAAGCACAATTCTCTATGTGAAGTATTTTCAAAATATGCATAATGTATCACTAAACAGAAGACTTAAAATAATCCATAATCTTAATAAATGGAATTTCGACATGTTTACAAACTGATTAGGGTGGGTCAGTAAGAGCTGACAATCAGGAAAATAAAACAAAATCATATTTATTTAGTGAATTTGCACGAACTATTCTTTCTTCCACTAAATAAACTTTTCTCCATAAAGACCAAAGTTGAGTCCTCTTTCACAGATGTTGTACATAAAGAAGATGGTCCTTCACATATCTTATATTATCATTTTACAAGGTAGATCCACTAAAAGCATGAGGAGTCAGAGTAATGACAGGAACATGACATCCTAAATAGGATACAAAGTGGTAGTTTTCTGGTTGTATTTTGAAGCCATTCTTTATAAGGGATGTCTAGGAAGTGCCTCATTGCAGATGCGAGTGCATTTGATTCCTTTCTGCATTTTCCAAGAGGGTCTTTCCACTGACAACGGTATGAAACACAGCACGAAGCCACTCATGGGAAAAGCTGACAAGAAAGGTGGCAGAGCTGTCAACAATACATGACAGCTGGTAAGTAGTGAGGAGAATAAATAATAACCCTTAAAATAAAAACCTTGGCACCAAGCCAGAGGATGGATTAAGGAAAGCATTAACAGCAGAATGACTGGACAAGAACAGCAGGGAAGTGCTCCTAGGACTAAGATAGATTACGTATTAGAAGTTTTTAAAATGTGACATTGCCTGTAACATTGGTGCAATCAAATCTGCAGAATTTCCAAGTGATTCTACAGTGTAAACACAGGGAGTTTCTATCACTAAACTTCTCATCACGCCACTTGCTTGGAACACAAATACAGCATTATGTTTGTAACTGACCAACAGAGCAACACCAGTGTATAAAACTGAATATAGCTTTGAGTGTCTTACAGGCACAACAGGGAAAAGTTTTTTAGGTACAGAATATAAGCAATGTCACATTCCCAGTGAGAGTAAGCACCCAGTACATCAGTACTCTCCATTCTCTCCAGTTTTCTGTTGACCATATTTTACCATGCTGCCAACTTGAGCTGTCAATTCATAAAACGTTTCCTGCCAGCGCAGCACTGCAGACACTGCCAAGAGCTGTATTCATTCGTGTACATAAAGGAATGAATTGTCTTCCAGCCTGCTGTGATCTCCAAAGCTGTCCACATGATGCAAGCTCTGGCAAACTGCCTAATAATTCTGCTCTACATATAAAGAATTTTGTCTTAGAGCAGTTTTAGATATTCCATAAAACTCAGTTTGGCCTATTTGTAAGACAGGATCACAAAGAGTGAGGTACTGCCTTAGTCAAAGGCTATTTAATAATCGTATACTCTGATCCACATTTAATAAAAAACACATAAATGTGTAAGGCTAGTACTTAATGACTTCACAAAATTACATCTCCTTAGAAACTAAACTAGAACCAACTACAATTAAAACATTTGGCAACAATAAAAATAAATAGCACTATGCAGTTACTATTTCCCACCCCCTCTGGATTCTGTTCTGGACTGTGGGACAGTGAGCAAGAGATCCCCACCTGGCAAAGTAGGATGCTGTGAAGCTACAACTTTCTCTTGCCTGCACCCAAGGCCAGCTGCTGCCCACCAACTTGAAACCAGAATGAGCTCTTATGCAGTAGTTAAATCATAAACATCATGAGGATTCAGACCAATATGAAAGAGCAGATGAGCTAAATTATGGCAATCAATAAAATGTTCTGTCATCTCAATACCAAACAGACATGGACCTGTTGGAACAGATCCAGAGGAATGCTACAGAAATGATCAGAGGGCTAGAGCACCCCCCTGTGAGGCCAGGCTGAGAGAGTTAGGGTTGCTCAGCCTGGAGAAGAGAAAGCTGTGGGAAGACCTTATAGCAGCGTCACAGCTCCTGAAAGAAGCCTACAGGAAAGCTGGGGAAGGACTTTTTACAAGTGACAGAAGAAGGAGAAATGGCTTTAAACTGGAAGAGGGTAGATTCAGATGAGATACGAAGAAGAATTTTTTTGTGATGAGGGTGGTAAACAGATTGCCCAGAGGTTATGGATGCCCCATCCCTGGAAACATTCAAGGTGAGGTTGGCAGGGGCATTGGACTAGATGACCTTTCAAGTTCCCTTCCAACCCAAACTATGATCTGACTGATACTGGATTGATGTATAAGCCTTAACAGATCTGTTACCATTAGGTAAAGAGTTGTTTGAATGTATTTTACATGTCCAGATATGTAATGAACAATATTTTAAGAAACTAAATCCAATTGTTGCTCATAGTTGTTTATTCTTTTGAAAGAAAAGTCGTTTTATTACTGCATAATGCTTCTCTACTCGTGGGAATCTCAGATCAGAAGAAAGAAAATCAACACATCAAGGACTAGAAAATAGCTAATAACTGAAAAGGACATGTTGGGTCCTCATCAGTGAGGAATGACAGCAACCAAAAACTGGAATACATAACTGGCAGTGCAATGTGCTTGGTTCTTCATTTTCTAAGGTTTAATAAAATTTTACAAATAATAAAAACTCAAACGGAAGTTGGTGGGTTGTTGTTTTTTTTTTTTTTTTGTACATTTCCACAGCTCCAGACTAGGCCATTGACCTGAGTAAGTGTTCCAGACACCCAGATGAAGGTGAAGGCATGGCCAGCTGGAAAGACAGCATGGAAAGCTTTGCAAAGGTCTTATGCCAGAGCAGAGCATTGCGAGAACTTTTCCTCATTTGGTATGAAGCACTATAAAGACTGTTGGAGACCTCCTATTAAACCATGTGAATCTGTTTCAAAGTCATCATACTTAGCTAAAACTTTCTGCATGAAATGAAATCGACTACAAGAAGTTGGTGTTAGACGCCTGCAACACATGCATTTTGTCAGTCACCCTCAGTATCTGCACAAGGCACTCTTACAGTCCTGAAAGGATTCTAGCACACATAGAGCTTATGAACTGGTCTCAAGTGAAATACAATCTTTAAAATGACATCTCGATTGTAACAGGACCAACTATGCTTAAAACCAAAATCATGAACTTGTTTTATTTTAGTAGTGAAATTGAGGCAGTGTCAAACACAAGGCTGCCAGAACTAATAAAAAATCAGTTAAGACTCATCTAATCGGATTAGAGACTCAATATATTTTATTTTCTTTTCAAAAAGAAGCCAACTTCAGCCATTAGTGAACTGAAATACTGTATCTAATTCCTTGAGAAAAATACACAAATCTAAATTGTTTGGGGATAATAGTCTATTTTTGAGAGGAAAAGAGAAAACACAAGCACAACACACGTATGTGCAAAAGAAGTTGACATTCTAAGCTCATCTTTTCAAGGATAAACTCGTAAGTTTTTGTTTCCAGCACAAAGGATGATACTTTCACTTGCCTGCATATTTTTTCACAATTTTTGTTTTAAAAAACCTGTATTTTACAGTTTAAAAGATTCCTATCCAAATGTAGCCCCAATTAATATGGATTCAAGAGTCTACTTTTCTAATCCCAATTTCCTGATTAATGCTAGAAGTCACCAATCCTTGGATTTTATCTCAGATTTAATACATTTTTTCCTACATGATGCAGGGATGTATTTTTAATGTTTAGACCAAAAATTTATAAACTTTGATATAGCAAGGACCACTGGGTTAATCTCAACATGCAACAGCAATTTTATTAATCTAAAATGTGTGAGATTTAATGCAGGTGAACAAATATCTGAAATCTGCTGGAGCTTTGTAAGTGAATTACCTCCTTTTGTAGATGGAGTTTGAAGAAACTGTTTGGTTTTGAAGGCAGCACGAGGCAAATGTTTCTGCCTTTGCAGAGCTGTTGAAAGACAAGAAGTGTTATATTTGTCTAAGAAGATAAGAAAACTAAATTTACTGAGAATTTCAGAATTGTATCCACTTGTGAAGCATCAAGGAACAGAGTGAATAAAACACTCAAAAAGCTGTTATGACTCTAGAAGTGATAGGTTTTTCTAAATGGTGCTTGCTCTTAATGGCAAAGAGTTACAGAGGAGCGTGTCAGATTTTGCAGTGCAAAACGCGCAGCTTCTGTAAAAGTAAAGCTTCTTGCAGGGCAAAAAGCCCAGAAAGGCAAAAAAAAAATAAATTAATACACTAAAGGGAAAACAAGCCACCTAGCAAACATGCTATAGCAATGAGTGCAAGATTAGATACAAAGATGAAAATTAAACTGCCATATTTGACCTAACAAGATTAAACTTTTCATTTTAAAGGAGTTTTCAAAAAATATTCTAACACTATACAAAAGCATAAATCTTTGTCTAAATGTGATGATCATATTAAAAAAGTTAAATTTTCAGTTATCCAAACATAAGCCATTTTGAGAGATGTCTGGCATTTTTAACCCTCAGAAGGTATGCAAGAGGACTCAAACTTGAAGATATAACACTAAGAATTAGCAGCTGTCAGTACGTAGACAGCATGACAAAAATTGCTTTTATTGCTCTTATGTCCTGCCTTTTTATTTAGTTATGTTCAAGGGCTGATACTGCCTTGAAATGTCCTCACTACCCACCAGCTACCAAGAGAGAAGCCGATGTTCCAGGAGCTGAAGGGTCTTGGCAAGGACACAATTTCCTATTGCCAGAAGGAACACAGGCACTCAGTGTATTTTCATCACAGCATATTTAAGGGGTGGAAGGAGGAAAGTAGTCAATGAAATAAAGCTTTGCCTACAAAGGTTTCTTCAAATGATCACGTATGAATAAACATCTCTGCTCGCCTCAGTGGATGGAGTTTTATACCAGCATAAAACCAACTACACCAGCAAGGCTGACTTCCATAGTGAGAAGGAAGAAAGATGAAGGGAACAGCTGTGCATAAAGATCCTGATCCTGAGTAAGGAAGCTCAGTAATCCTATCTCCAACTGGTAAATATTGCTATAAAGAAGGGATAGGAAAAGCAATTACAATCCTAATAATATTAGTTCATCCTTTTCTAAACTTGATAGCATATAATAAATGCCATCACCTTTCCTATCCTTCAGTCAGTGCAAAATTCACAATATTTTCTGAATTGTAAAATAAGTTCATCTTGTGTTTCACCTTCATTCTGAAAATAGGATTAGTTAGTCTATTCATTTTAGTCTGAATAACTAAAGCATGCCTTTTTCAACAAACAGTAAAAAGAATTAAAGTGTTTATAAACATGATAAAATGCTGCTTATGGCTATTAAGAATAATTTAAAAATAATAAATTCCTTCTACCAACTAGAATCTAATGCAAAAAACCCATGTGGCAATATGCAATTCTTATTCAACTTCTGGCACATAGTCTTGCTATAAACTTTTTATAGGCATACCCATAAACAGCCAATAAGTACAGTAAGATGTTAAAAAATGAGCACAATTCCTAGGAATGTAGTGAGGCAAGTCACTGACCAGAGTGCTTCTGTCCACAAATATTCCATTATGCCATTTTTTTACTGAATCAGTATATACCACGTAAAATCAAGAACAGCTTCTTCCTTCATATTATGATCTTGAATTTAGTTTGCCCTAATTAAGTTAGATTTAAATTTGCTACTGCACACGGCACTAAGTTTCTTCCTCCATTGTTATTTACACTGCTTGCAAGTCAGAGATGATATGGAAAGGATTTAAAATATCTATCAAGTTCCTTCCTTCTCAACGGAGACTCCAGGAAACAGAGACTTAGTAGTCAAACAATTCTGTGCACCCAATCACTGAACAGAACTTCAGGCAGTACAATTTGAGCAACGCTGAAGAAACATGCAGTTTGAGATAAGCGTGGAGTGCATGCTTATCCACACGATTTACTGCTCTTGAAGTGCGCCGTATGCTGTTACATTACCTGTCACAAGTGGTGCATGCTGAATACACAGTTATTCTTACTTCTGATCAACCAAATTGGAAAATTCAGTTTCTTCAACACATATACTTCTTTTCCCCTGAAAATGCCAAGCAGCTGGATCTTGGCCAGCAGACCCCGTTACTTTACTGATAGTTTGAACAATCTACAGCTTAGCTCTCAGAATAAGTGTTATATTTAACTCTGCTTAAAGATTTAACACTCCTGTGCTATACTGCCAGATAAGTCTGAAAGTATCACACAGTCCACTAGAAAGCAGGTAGCTCCTATGTGGAAGCCACCCTATAAGTTCCACAGCTCTGCACAAACTACATGGTGTAGGGCGCAAATACAGAGACTTTGTCATTCTAACACTTTAAAGTCTAAAAGATACCAGAGAACACAAGTGTTACTATATCTTTCACGTTTTAAGGTGAAATATTTAACAGCTTTCCTATAGAAAGTACTTTCTGCATAACAGCATGGAGAATCAGATGTAAATGAAGATTATAATAGTTATAACTACAATTGAGTTTACTCAATCTCTTTCCAAAAAATAATTTGGATTTTTCACATTACAGCCAAAACATAAAATGCCAGATGTGCCTGTATTTTACAGTTTTACCTCTAAACATATTACAAGTATCTTCCCTCTACTCTCTAAGCAAGTGTGTAAATTTGCCTATGTTACCATAATAGGAATTGTCTTTTCAGAAACTTACTGGATTCCTAACTCATTTTTTAATGCCAGCAACCATAGCAAGTTCAGTACTGCAGCCACAGCAAATGTGCAAGTAAATTATGAACAGCAGATGTCTGACAAGGAGAAAAGTAAAGTAGTGACCTTGGGTGGCAAGCCAGCATCCTTGCAAAGGTAAGCTCATGCAAAACTAGCAGGGGTATGAGGAAGCTTTACATCTCAAGACCCAGAAGTCATTGCCAAGGGAAAACAAAAATCTGCTGCAATTTAAAATGCTTTGTGCAAGGTGACAAAATATAAAACAAAAAGTATATAATAAAAAAGGACACAATTCTGGAAATTTTTATACAATGTACAGTTTTGCAGAAAATTTTTTAATTCAGACTAAGCAGAGATACTTACTTATTGACTTCATACACAAACCGTTTTACGATTGTCAATATCAAGACTCTGACAAACATCTGTAAGAGCAGGGAAACTGTAAAAGCTAGAAATCTGGGCTTTATTCATAATACATAACTTACATTTACATGTAAGTTGGTCTAGAATGGTTCACATGTGGGAAAAGATTCCCATGAAAGGCAAGCATATTTACCTAATTTCTGTGATTCTCAATCTATCCACAAGTTGAAAAAAATATATACGTATAGACATGTCACGCTACTTTGGCTCCTGCAATGAAGTAACTCACTAAATATTGAATATTGAGACATCTACTGTCTGATCTTGCACTGTGAACATACTTTTAATACTGGAAATAGCCTTTTAGCCCACTAAGCTGCCCTTTGTGTGCTTTCCTTCCCAGTTTGCTCAATTTTAAAACACCAAATAAAATCTGTACATATTTTTACTACAAGTATTTTTTTCTTCATTTTCTTTCAGGTAATTTTTATTATTCTTCCCATCACAAAAGTAACACAATTGGAAAGCTGCTGTCCAACTGCTCCAAGGGCTTTGTAGCTTGATAAGCCTGCCTAACAGGTAACAAGTCCTGCCTTTGAATGACACACATGCTGTAAATCCCACTTCCTGAGCACTTCTGAAGACTGGAAGAACAGGGCAAGGTGAAAGGATGTGAGGGTAACAATAAGAGCAATCACAAGGTCACACTGACTTCTTTGGCTACAGTATCACACACCTGGGAGTGAGCACACAACCCTTACATCTGCTCTGAGTCACTACCAAGACAGAAATCTTGTTGCCATTGGCATGGTCTGTATTTGGTTGCATTAACACACTATTTTGAAAGAACTAGGTAAAAAGGCCAACTTGGTAGCCAGTATGCTTTTACTGTTCAATGGGTAAAAAAAATAAATATAATTCTAGAATTTGTTTCATTCACAAGTACTGTCTTACATTTCTTGTCAAATATTTAGAGTACTGATGACTTTTATCATAGAGCTTTTATAGTTCAAAGCACTACGCAATAATATTCATAATGTGTTCTTCCCTTGGAAATGTCACACAAGGTTAATTAATTCTGAAACTTGTTTTATAATGAAATAGCCATGAGACATTTAAACTACAGGAACTGTCAATATTAACACCTAAGGAAGCAGAGAATATTTAAGTTACATTTGCTTTGGCTTCTTCAAGGTCATAATTTTTAAGGGACTTGTGAGATTAGCAGTGTTCCCACATCAGCAGTTTACTTTTCAACAAATTAGCAGCCACTACCCCAGCAATGGGCTAATTTATTTCATGGGACACAAGTTAATTCAAAACTTTTCTGAGAAATACTGACACTTAAAAAGAGTAAAATCTGCAACAATAATTTCCAGGTTAAAAAAAAATAATGAAGAAAATAAACTGCAAACAAAGGTTAAACTTGCATGAATTATATCAGATTTCACTATTCTAAAAAGCAGTAAACATCATCTAGGTAAGTATTTTTGTAGCCTAATAAGTTTTTGTAGTCTGCAAATAAAATTCAGCAGTACAAGTACTATACCTTCTGTAAATCACCAAAAATAAATGGTTTCTAAAATGTGTAGCACTACTACATTTACACTATAGTACTTCTGTATGTGCTGTTAGGAAACTGCAAATGATACCTTATTAAGAGAACAGGAATTCTTTGAATATACTCAGTACCAGATTTTGTGTACCAAAAAAGCAGATTTTCACCTCGGTGATTAAGGATTAGCATCTCCAGTGTGACATGCAGTGTTACTCTTTGCCATGAAACTGGAGGACAGCTGCGTACCATCACTTGATTCTGAAATACACATTGAAGTGTCACTAAAGGTACTTACTGGCTGAGGCTTGAGGTTGAATGCGAGGTATCCCTCCATTTGGCACTTGGAAGTTTGAGTCACTTCTGCTGTTTTTCACAGACTCAGCTTGGATGTTACATGTCCTGGACAGGTTTGGAAGACTACGCCTTAGTTTTTCTGTATGAAACAATACAAATATCACATGTAGCCTGATGCAGGACAAAGTTCAGTTGAGCCCCAAATCTAAGTGCCAAAATGCTATCCATATAAAACTACACTGCAATGTAAAAGCATATTTTCTTACATTACAGTTCTTCTGTTATCTTGAACTGAAGTTCTACATTATTCTCAGATCTATTATACACAAAATATTTATATGAAAAACTAAGAATGTACATTTTTCACCTGTGGTGAAAAAAAGTCAAGCATGGTGTGTTTTGAAATTGAAACATATCTGGATTATGGTTCTCTGGGTTTTGTTCTAGCGTTATAGAAATTGAATAGACAAACAACTTGCAGCTTTGCACACTTTTTGAAGTCTTTGCCTAGAAAGTTATTTATAATATGGAATGCTTGCCTGAAGATTGAAACACACACAGTATTTTTTAGTAAATTTTTGGGACTACCCAGTCCCATATCAGCACATTATACAACAAATAACAGCCACCCACTTGGAAAGAAACTCTTCATACACAGCATTGAAAATTATTGAAGTGTCCAGTTATGCTTCATCTTTCACATATAACTTGACTATCTATTCAGCTAATACTGGTTCTTCAAGGGTTTTCTAAAATTTGTACTGTTGCTCACAGAATACAAAAAGATGCCATTAAACATCTCTCAAGCCTAATGACATTCTGTGTATGGGCCAGTCGGAAAGGCTCCAGGGGGATA